TTCTTTCTTTTTAAGGCTGACCATTGTTCCATTGCACTTACACACCACATTTCGCTTAACCGCTCACCCTCCAATGGACACTGGGTCGCTTCCGCCTTTGAACTACTGTGAATAATCCTGCGATGAATACGGCTGTGCAAATATCTCTTCAAGACCCCGCTTTCCATTCCTTTGTCTACATCCCCAGAAGTGGAATTAGCAGATCACGTGGTAATTCTACGTAGACCTTTTTGAGGAACCACCATACTGTTTTCATTTATGACTGTATCCTTTTCCCTCCCCACCAACAGTGCACAGAGGTTGCGATATCTCCACTCCTGGACAGTGTTATCAAAGTGGTCCTGATGGACGTGAGGTGACATCTCACTGTGGTTTTGATTTGCATTTCCCAAATGATTAGTGGCCTTAAGCATCTTTTCATATGTTTGCTGTTTTAATCTGCTGGAATTTTTATTCCCTTTTTTTTTCTTCATTATATTTGAATGTCAAAGAGGAACTCCTTTCCCAACAATGAGATGTTTGCACCTTGGGTCTCAGGAGGGCTACCTCGCTTTTGCAAACAACTGCTTAAGCCTGGAACGAGTCGCACCTTGGCAGTGTTGGGGGAAGCTCATGATCTGTTAGTATTAAAAAAAAGAAAATAAAATTCAAGCAGATTAAAACGGCAAATATGTGAAAAGATGCTCATCAGATGCAAGGTTTACACAGCACTTTGAGGTTTACATGTTATCTCACTTGTTCATCACAGCAGCCTCACAAGGTACAGAAGGCGGATGAGGAAATTAAAGTTCAGAGATGAAAACACAGAAGCAGAAGGAGAGGTTCTTTAAAATCATAACCATTGAGCCAAATGCCTCCTGAGGCACAGCAGGCGTGGCTGGCTGCCCACCCAACATCCACCGTCTCTGTGCCTTTTGTCGAACCCTGGTTTTGTGAGGGTTTCCACCCTCCCTACTCAGAATTCCATGACTAGGTCTGAGACAGTAATGGTGATTATATTCTCCAGCTCAGAGATTTAGGCCAACGCAATGTGAGGGGGATTTTAGGAAAGATTTCTTTACTTTATAAAAGTTAAAGCAGAGACACGATGGCCCCCTTTACTTTTTCTGAGTGAGGTAGTTCCTGGGCGGGATGCCTGGAATCACAACATCTATTTTAAGATCACGAGTGGGACCAGTTTTAGGATGAAGCCAAGAGGCAGTTGACCTAGCAGAAGTACAGAAAGGGCCTGGGTTCGATATCACCGAGTCACTGATTATACCACAGTAGGATTTTCCCTTCTGGCTATGTGAAATAATACATTTTCTAATTGGGATTTTTGTTTTCTTCTGTTTGTTGAGTGTTATGATGGGTGGAATTATGAATTGACATGAACGCATTGTGAAAACATGATTGAAGAGCTGTAAATGTCAGAGGCCAGGAAGAGGGACTGGCTGGGGGTCATAGGGGAGGCCAGGAGAGAAGAAAGGAGAGAGAGGGTCTCACCGTGACTGTGAGACAGCACAAACTCAAAATGCTGAGACTGAACCTACTGCCATA